GGAGCAAAAGAAGAGGCTCAGTGGGTCATCTGGGGGCCTGACGCGGAGCCATCGGGAAGCTTGATGCTTTCAGGGCAGCATGCAGCGTGACCTTATGACATTGATGACACATGACAACAGGCATGCAGAGACATCATAGGGATTCAGGAATCCAGAGCGTCTCGAAGCTGCCATGGAGAAACCTGGCCTGGTAGACATTTTGGAAGGTTTTGCACGCCAGGAGGACCGCAGCTGGTTCGTGTCTTCGTGCAAGATGGACCAGATGCATTTGACAAATTTATAACGATTTGTAGGATGCCGAAGTGAAGGCTCTTGATGAGCTCAGTGACAGCAGCGAGTACAGCAAGGACCAGGGTTCACATGAGCTTGAGTCAACCTGAGCTACAATGAATGAATGAACGCTTGAAATATTTGTGACTTGGAAGGATTCCGTGCTGACAGATACGTCAGAATCTGATGGCGAGAGCGCAGAGGGTTCTGCTGAGTTCGTGGATTGCGTAACACCGTCCATGATGCAGTCTGCCAAGCTTCATCTGGAAGCCGCTGCTGTGCCTGCAAGAATGTTCACTCCTCCGAATGGTCGTGATATGATTTCTGGCTGCAATGAGTGAGTGGCAATCAATGAAGTAGATCGTGCCCTGCAACTGCTCCTACCAAGTTTCTACCGACCACTCAACATGTTCCTTGCAATTGGCACAGCCCACCCCCCTATGCTGTGCCCAGGTATCTTGTGGCTTCCGATTGTTCCGGCGCGGGAACATTGAACTACTGCATGCCAGGCCCTGAGATTTCTAATCACGAGGTATCATATTATCACTTCAAGAAAGTGGGAAAGTGGAAAATGGCAAGTCAGCGGCTATGAGGATAGTGCCCAGCCATATAGGCATAGGATATCATATAGGCTAAACCGGGCCAGGACGTACCCATCAGCCGTGCGGCCATGTTGCAGATTGTGCCCAGGTCTGACCTCTGCCAAGTCACCTTCTCGACCTTCCAGGAGCTGGCAGCATCAGAGCAGAATGTTGCAACACACTTCTCGTCGTTCCAGGAGCTGGCAGCATCAGAGCAGAATGCTGCAACACAGGCCTGGCTCCGGGCAAACTTCCAGTGCCACTTGGCTTTCGAGTCAGGAGATTAGATTGGGGTAGACGGTAGACAGCTTAGACCAATTCAGACTCAGGTTCCAGGGTCGATTGATTGTGATTCAGTGCTTCACGAGCCACATGCATGTGCTATGCCATGCCAATTGTTCATTTCTTCCAGACTAGCCAGCCTGAAGCTAAAGTCCTAGGCCAGGCCAGGCCAAGCCCGCAAAATGAATCAAATCACATGTCACAAATCTGACAAATTGAGCCGAAGCCAAACCCTTACCTTGATCCCTCCTGAGTCCTAGCTTCCCCAAACTTTTACTTCAAAAACCTGCCGCCTGCCCAAAGCTGCTTTGCTTTGTCTATCATCCGGCTAGTGTCCGGCTAGCTAACACCTACAACCCCAAACCCAGGTCAGCACATCTTTCCTGATTGTGCTAGCACGCACTCCGGTGGCTACTGCATCCTGCACGATCAGTACTGTGATCCAGTTGATTTGGGCGATGACGTGGAAGCAACTCGTATCATATAGTACATGACATGCTTTGCATTGGTTCATTTCATATGACTGACTCACTGACTAACTGACTAACTGACTGAGACTGAGGATTGATTTTTATCACATGATTTGTCAGAGTCACATCACTGCGTCAGACTTTCCATGCGTTGCTCACATACATGTTGCATGCATCTCATGCTTCCGAGCGACTGTAAGGACATTTATGCGAGTGGCCCGCCCTGCACTCCGTTCTCTTGGTTGAACGTCCGAAGAAGGAGGGCTGACTATGATCCTTTCAACGATCCCAACAGCAGGCCAGTGATTGAAACATGTGGTGCGCGATTGCTGATCACAATCCCTTCAGACATCCAAATGGCAGGCCAGTGGTGGAGACAGCGCGGCACATCCGTGACCGCAAGCCCCGATGTTTCATTGTGGAGGAGGCTGGGCTGCCATCCAGCTTACCAGCGCAGCGCAATCATGAATCATGGCAATTAGGTTTAGGGTCCTGCCGCCCTGTGGTAACTCAGGGCCTGAGTTCGAATGTCTGTGTGCTGTGACATGATGACTACAGACTACATGACATTCGTCCGATGAATGATGGGTCTGATGAGTGACATGACTTGATTGATCTTGGCATTGGCCTGATATTGGATTGACCTTTTCTCGTGGAGGTGCCTGCTTTCGCGAAACCCTGGCCTCCACAATGCCGGGGAGATTTCTTCGAGACATATGAGGCCTGCCAGCCTGCCTGTGGGTTCCAGCTTGCAAGTTCAGCAGTTATTCGATGCGCTGCGAGTGAGTATGTGACATGAATTGGCATCAGTTGGCTTCTCAATATTTCATGTCGTCTCATCCATGAGTCATGAATCTGAGTCATGAATGAATGAATGAATGAATGATGACTCATGAGCAGCAGACAACAAGCTCGGTAGCCAATTGACAGGCAGCAGCTGCAATCCCAAGTTTAATTGTGGCCATGAGAGTTCAGGTGTGTCACATCATATGCTCATGTGATCATATGAATCATATGATATGAATCATATGATGACTTGACTGACTTGACTCTTGTAATTTCAAATGCCAGCGCTTGCCCACAGTGTGCTGTGATTGCGGACTGACACAGCGATGCCACTCTCAGATTTGTGGGGAGCCGCAAGTCTTGTGGATAGTGGCAGTGGGGCTGATGAGGATCATGGGTGCAGTCAGAGCTCAAGTTCAGGCAGTGGATCAAGTCATGGCCATAGCGAACAAAGTGCAGAGCTGAGAAAGATTCGAAGGCAACAGCAAACTGCGAAGGCACGAACAGCAGCGCTTTTGTCGCGACAGAGAAAGAAGTTGGAGAAGGAGAATGAAGGTGAGAGCCAGCTAGAGCCCGATCCGGTGGCTCAATTTCAAAGGACATATTTTGCAAGCACGCTGGCACGGAGAGGGTGGTGGAATCCATTTGAAGATGGATCTGTGTTGCAGCCAAGTCGTCAGCACAGACGCAGAGCCATTTGGATATATTTCACAAACCTGGCCAGGCGATTGAAAGCATTGTTCTTAGGCAAGGCTGAATCGTCCGATGGCGAAGGTGAGCAGCTTGCTGAGTCCCAAGGATGTGATTTCTCTCATGTGATCAGTGTGAATGTCAACGATGATACGAACATTAAGCTGACCCCTGCTCAACGGCAATCTCGAAGTGTGCGTTCCGTCATGGCCAACATTCAACATCACATCGTTTTCAAACATGGCGCTCCTGATGCTGACATGCCATCCTGGTTTCTGTTGCACCAGCCCACCCTGGTGCTGCATAGGGCTGTTGCAAGTCATATGCTGCATCAGTTCAAGACATGGTGCTTGCACTTGGCAGGCCAAGTTGGCCCACGGATGCTTGCGTGGGGGATACCAGGAGACCTATTCAAGCATGTCAGGCGGCAAACATTCATTTTTGTTGCAGATGCCCTAAAGGCAAACGATACACTGTTTCGCCAACTCTCCAAAATCATGCATTGCAGGGCGCCTGAGGTCAGGGAGCCACCTGACGATGTTGCGCTGCAGATGCATTGTAACATACACCAGGTCAGTTTAACTCGTCGCACATTGGCATTGGGCTTCGATGGCTATTGGTCTTCCCTCGTTAGGCTGGGGCACCTGTTTGAAGCACATTCTTTCAGGCAACGCTTTGCCACATCTTTGGCAAAGGTGGTCTCAGACAGCTTTGTATATGTGGAGTGTGGCAAGGATTTGCCCGCTGAAGCTGTAACCTGGCGGCAGGAAACCATACGCTGCCTCAGGCTTCACAGCGATGATGGGCATGCTGGCTTGAGAGGAGCAAAGGTGTCCAAACGCATGAAGAATGTTTGGAAGCACATGGAAAAGGACAATGGCAATCCACGAGAGCCCACTATCGTCCATTGGTGTACTGGGCAGAATTGTTGTCCTGGCGGTAAGGAAGAAGCACTCACATTCCTGATCGAATCATTCACCAGGATGTTTGAGTATACCTGCGTCCCCCTGCTGTATCGGTGGAAGCATGCTGCGAAAGCGAACAGCTTTGTGCGTGATGGGTTCTTTTGGCGCCGCATTCTTCCACGTGCGTTGCAGAATCTTCCCAGCGTGAAGGGTCATCTGGTTTGCGAAAAGCTTAGTAAAATCCTTTGTGTTGAGTTATGAATATGTCGCAACATGCGATGATGGGTTGTATAGGCTGTAATGATTAAGTAATGGTGATAGTCAGTAATAGTCTTAGTAATAGTAAAAGTCAGAGTCAGAGTCATAGTCATAGTCTAGTAATACAAGTACTAGTCGAAGTAAAGGTCCCGGTCCATTAATAATAGTAATGATATGATTAGGTAATGATGTAGTATAGATTCAATGATTAGTAAGATTATTTTCATTACTTGATTTGGGCCACCATTTGTGCTACTACCAACTACCCGAACTATGCCGCCATATGACCATATGCCTCACATTTGTCCTGTCCTATCTCCGTGGCAAATTTTCTGAATGTTTATGATAGGGTCCAGGTGAGAATGTCAGGGAGGCTTATGATAAATGATTAAATTAAATGATTGAATTATGATAAATATGATTTGTTGAGATTTGCTGTTCGCGCAAATTAAGGAGATGCTGATAAGGTTCTGGAGGCAATTTGCTGCTTGGTCCGAGGCTGTGCGTGGTGGCGATGCAGACCCAGTTGCCTTGGGTCAGCTTGTTCAGGAGCTATTGCAGAAGGAGGAGTCCTTTGCTGAGCAAAATGCCAAACGTTTACGGCTTGTTGCTGATGCTTTCCTACGAGATGACTTTGATGAAACAGTCGTGAACATTGTTGATTGTCTCATGCAGCCTCTTGACGCTTTGATGAACCGATTTCTGCAAAGAACGGATATTCTCAACAAGATACGATACCAGGAAACAGGCAATGGACTCACGACTGACGCTCTGAAGCAAAAGTCTCGAGCCATGTTTCTACGTTGGGCTCAAGGTGATATGGGCCAGGACGTCATCAGTCATTTCTTGAAGATCTTGAAGAGCTCGGACTTGGCAGGTTTCTGCAGGGTGCAGCCAGACAGGGCCAGCACGCTGAGCATGACTTGCTTCCAGCTGATCGTATTTGCCATCAGTGACATTTGGCGGCGATTTTGTTTTTCGACAAAGAGCTTCCCCTGGTGCTTGTTCCCCTTGATTTCCAGCAGCGAGTCTGACTTCTGTTCTGCATGGACCAGCTTCAGGAGGACCTTGGATCGTTGTCCAGAATGCGTGGATGTTGCATTCAGCAGGCCTTTGCTGAGAGGGTTTGATCCAGCAAGTGTTGGCCCGGATAATGTAACTGGGCATGTCCAGGAATTGCGTGCGATGCTTGATCAGATTGCAACATATTCTCCATTGGCTACAGACTCAGTGGAAACTTTGCACGCACAAAATCAGGATAAGCTGTACACGTGGAGGGGATATGTGCTAGGAGGGGCAGCTGCTGCTAAGCATTGCATTCTTGGTGCGCTGGCAAATGAGCATGCTCATTTGAAGTCAGTCATGGATCCAGAGATCATGCCCAGCAAGGTGCGTATCTCTTTGATGCAGAAGCATATTGGGCGAAAGCGGAAGCAGCAACCGAATGCACCCATTGCAAGCCGTACGAAGCGGCTCCACACGGCCATCAAAGAAAAGCGAAGGAGGCTGAGCCCGTGGAACATCTTTAAAAGAGAAAAGCTGGCCAACTTTTCCCGCCGTCTGTCTCGAGCAGAGTTTGAAGTAGAATCTAAGAAAATCGCCCAACAATGGCGGCAAATTTCAGATGAGGAACGCCAACATTATGTGATGGCGTGTGAGTACGAGCAACGCTGTCGGGATGAACTGGTCAGCCGTCCTCTGACATCCAAGCTCCCGAAGTGTGCCTGAAATTGCACTTGAGATCATGAGTCATGAGTCATGAGCCAAGAATCATTGATTTGTGATGACAGATAAGATAATGATAGAGATTTCAGCTGGTTCCCTCATGGTTTGATCTTCAATGAGAGAATTTCGGAATAATATCATATCACAAGTCATGACTCATGATGTGTGCATTCTGCAATAGGCAGCCGGGAGCCTATCAACCTATCATTCTATCGATCCTAAATCCTATCATCCTATCAATCCTATCTATCCTATGATTCGATCCTGATCCTATGAAACCATATCATATCATATCATCAAATCATTAGAGTCAATGTCATTATATCATTCATATGATTCGATTCATATCATATCATCTCATCTCATCAAATCGAATCATATCTGTCATTTGAGTCTTTTCTCTATGCGTGTGTGAGGCAATGAGCGTCGTATATGGTCCATGGTCTACAGCCAGGGCCATAGCCTATAGCCATAGCCCGTAGCCTATAGCCTAGTCTATGTCTATGATTCTGTCACTGTCTATGACAGACTACCAGGTTCAGCCTATGATGGAGGATCTGGTCCCAGTAGCCCGAGGCCCATGACTCCCATGACCCATGACCACAATTCTTTTCAAGCCTGATATCCGTCCGCCATGCTGCCTGTGGCTACCACCACCAACTAGGACTTGCGCCCTGTGTAAGTTTTGTTGGCTGCCTGCTTCTTGGGACTAGTACTACTACTACTGCCCCCAATCATGGCAAGTTCTTGGGTTGTTGGTTCTGCTAAGGTGCTGTTGCAGAGGATTCCAATGAGGCGCCAGCCAATGTCGATGAGCCGGTCCGGGTGGATTCTTTGACAACGGACCAGCTCCAGAAGGTGGCAGGCAGGTTTTGGGTTCAATTTCGTACGAGTAATTCCGAGAAATAGAGCCCATATGGCAACCCAAGAATCCAGGCCCATGTTTCCCCAAACCTTTAAAAAGGTCCTCAATTGTTCATTGTTTGCCTGCTACCTTTCTTGTCTCATTCAGCGTGTGTTATTATTTGTTAAGATCTGGTTCTGGCCATTCCATAATTGGGCATGGTCCGGCATGGTTGTGTTCTTGTTCTAGTCACTAGACATAGTCAGTCATAGCCATGGCCTATAGCCTATAGCCAGCCATAGGGCCATAGTCCATAGTTATAGTCGTATAGTCGGTCGTTCTAGTCCTAGTCTATAGTCTATAGTGGTCGGGTCCAATGATGTTCTTGTGGGGTTGAAAGAATAGCAAAAGATCCTGCTGTGGGATTTGTTTCCGGTAGCAATCAGCAATCATGTGAACCATGTGACGTGTGGTCATATGTTTTTTCTTAGAGTAGTAGATTGTCCTATTTCCCATGAAGGCGCCCGCTTCTGCAAGAAGGTGTCAGCGAAGAGATTGCTCCACAACTGCGAGCAGCAGAAGCAAGCTGCTGGCTGGGTGACATATGGTCTTGGCTTGCAAGACTGCCATGGGGCAATTTCGCGCGGTCGCATTGATCTGAATACTGAGCAACTTGTGGTTGACAGGGCAGTGGAAAACAACATACACCATGCCATTGCTGAGCCAGATGAGGATGCATATGCCCACTTGCCAGATCCTCACAGCGCGTGTTGCCACAATCTGTTTGGGTATTGCAAACAAGATGCAGCTCGCCATGTTGCACAACACTTTGCAAGCCATTTATCCACGAAGGTGCGTGAGCTTCATCTGCCCACAGGCACCTTGGTGACATTGCAGACAGTCTTGAAGGATTCAGCAGGTTCAGCCAGCGGGAGTGCATCATTGGAAGCAGCCAGCAGAGCATTCTTCTTGGGCGTGCTATGCTAAAGACCGCTTCTGCATGTCCTTGTGAAGGCTTGGCCAAAACCGGGCAACAAGTTTGGCGTGACAGCAGGAGCAGAAGATTTGCCAGAGTTTTTCACATCGTTCCAGGTATTTCGATCTCTTGCCATGGACCTGCCGCGTGTGGCTGATTGGGATACATTTTCTGTGCAAGTGCGAGTGCTGTCATACAGCTTTGCAAGGACGATGTGAAGGCAGCATCCGACATCTTCACAGACTTTTTGTTGCCATCCGTGACTGAGGCAGCTGCAGGTCCACATGTCCACGAAGACATTGTGGAACTTCCCTTTGGCTTGCAGCTTCCCCCCAAGAAAAGAAAGCCTCGGCAGCCTCGATCAAAAGCAAAGTCCAAAGGAGGACAACGCAAAGGTCATGGCAAAGGTGGCAGCAAGCATAGGGCCAGAAACCGTGGTAGGCCAGATGGATCCGAGTTTGAAGCAGATGATTCGTCTAGCTCAAGCTCTGACACTGACAGCAGCAGCGATTGTGAGCATGTGGCATGTCCAACAGAAACAGCCACTCATGAAGCAGCTGCTGTTGCAGACGCAGAAAGGGAGTTCGATCAGGTCCAGGCAGACACAGCAGCCATACTTCATGCCAGGAGCCATGCTGGGTCTTACTTCGTGAAAACAGTGGGGTTCGATGAAGGCTCTGTTGCACCGACAAGCAGGAGTTCTTGCTACCATTGCAATGCCAAAATTGACAAGGGAAGCACTCGCTTTTCATACTTCTGGGCTACAAAAAGGCCTTTTCGCTACATGCATAGCTCTTGCGTGGTCACTTTTGTGCAAGCTGAACCTGAAACCAGGAAGCAGCAAGCCATACCTGCAATGAAGACCAAGGTGACAGAGGGTTCTGGGGTGGGGGTTTTTCCATCTCTATCTCTCTCTCCCTCTCTGACACGATGACAGTCTATCATCTAATGCAGTCCTGGCCATTCAAGAGGCGGCCATGCTCGAAACTCCAGAATTTGTTTCTCGTTGTCACGGTCGAAAGCTTCGAACCACGGCTCAACGCAGATCGGCCAACACTTCCTGGGCACCCCACAACTCAAGCTGCAGCAACATCTTAACATCTTTTTCTTTGCAACATGTAACATATGATGCCAATGCCATACAGCCCATAATGCCTGACTGACTGAATAAAGCTGAAAAGCTCGCAACAGGTCGACAATGTACTGCTGCTTCACGGGATCACCTTTGCGGACCTGAAGAAAGGCCAGCAAGAGCTTGAGCTAAACCCCAAAATGACCCCGGAGTATCAGTATGTGACAGTATGTGACATGTGACATGTGTGTCACTGTGTGTCTCTTAGGCACAAAGCCACTTTGTGAGCCCACCCAATTCCATCATCTACCTGAGACACCTGCCTCCTGACACACATTACATTACATACCGCAGTGCTACATCACACAACAAACCACATACATTGTCGTACCAGAACCTCACACATTGGCACACAGGCACTATTTTCTGCACGAAAAATGAAGAAAGCATAATACGCATTTTGCGTCAAGACTCAAGACTGTACTACCATAGGCACATAGTCAGAATTGCATAATCGCAAGTGACAGCAACAACAGTCCCATAAAAGTGATAACAACAACAGGCAATAGTAGGCCAATAGTCAGTATTATTGCTAGGCTATATTATGTTACTAATTACTAATAGCAGCAGCATTGCCATTGCGACATAAACCTTGGCACAGGCATATGGTATATGCAACATAGGTAACATAGGCGAACATAGGCTACAGGCATAGCGGCATAGCGGCATCAGTCAGCATCAGCATAGGCAGCATAGGGCATAGCTAGCATAGTCAGCATATGCAGCATATAGGTGGGAATTATGGCAGGCAGCAGCAGCATGATGAGCTATCATTAATCATGAATCATAGTAGTCATAGTAAGTAAGGTATTATGGCACGGTGTAATTTTGACAGTGTAACTAGCTGTATAACTGTATAACTGTATAAATGTATAACAGCAGTTAGTCATAGTTATATTATATTTCATATTATATAGAATATACTATTAATACTATAACATGATATAATAATTATGCAATAATCTCACTCACATTATATAAAGAAATTACTAAGTCATATGAGTCATATCATATCATGTAATCATTGATACAGAACAGCACAGAACGGTTTAAACGGTTTCATGCGGTTTTCTGCAAATAGCATGGAACAGCACAGAACGGTTTTGTACTGTTGTCATTTTTGGTGTGTTTTGCAGGAACTAAAAAGAACGGTTCGGAACGGTTTAAAACGGTTCCTGAAAAACCCCCCTGTAACATGTCAAACAGTACAGAACGGTTTCTGCGGTTCCATACGGTTCATCTTAAGCCTGCTTGAGACAATCATAGTTGTGAATTTTCTAACAAATGAAAAGCAATAACATAGGCATCATCGGCATCATCATCGGGTACATAGTTACATAGGCAATAAGCAATAGGCATTGGCAATAGCCAATAAGATCATAAGGGGCCATAGCCATAGGGCCATAGCCATAGGCTAGCCATAGAAAGCCAAACCACAGAACACATTCGGCCAAGTTGCATTGGTGGCATATCCCCATGCAATATCCAGCTGCATCTTCTCCCGCATGGTGAGCATGGAGATTGTGCTCTCACCAAGAGAGGATGTATATGGATTGGATCCTGCCAAACGCGTGGTGACAAGGTCATCTCTTCAGAGCAAATCGTGGCAGGCAACATATGGCAACAAGCCTTCTTCTATGCCAACATACTCCTGCCATTTCCGAAGCTCCTGGAAGCATTTGACACTCAGCATGTCGGCCATTAGTATTAGTACCACTCCACACGCCACTTTGGACCCAGCAACATTGCAAGCTCCTGCATGGACTTCTCACTCAGGGGCCGCTCTTGGCCCTGCTCCTGCACAAGCAAGGCAGGACAATCGCCATTCTGTGGCCAGGCAGTCGTCACTGTAGCAGAAACAGCGCACAACAGGCCGGAACCGTTCAGAACCGTTCCTGGGCATGCCTTTCACACCCAAAAATCTCAGGAACTGTTGCCTGACCCCCCCACCACTGCCCCCTGCCCAAAGCTCCCACTCTGCCACTGCTCCCCAGCCTTCACGTCACTTTTCGGGCAATCATCCTCGTCACTTTCCAGGTTTGGTGCAGAAGTATCAGCATCACATTTTGGCCTTTTTTCTTTTTGGCCGTTTAGGGCTAAGAGGCTTGGGCCGCTTGGGGTTTAGGTTTGGCCTTTGACTGCCCTCAGCATTTCGGGTTTATGTTTTACCCTTAGAGGCTTAGAGGGTCAGTGTAGGATGTAAGCCAGGAAACACCCATGCCCATACATGCTTGATACCATCACTGCATCACATGTACTCCATACTCCCATCACACACCAACTGCAAGACCTGTGGACCTGTGTGTTGCACTGCTACACACTGTAAAGTCATGCATGCTAGTAACATGGATCGGTCCTTTCGGTCAATGCCACAAACCATTGGCGCATAATTCCAGTGTCGATCTCCCTCTGCAGCCAGCCAATCGACCAGTTGTCCCACACTTGTCTGAGAGTGGACACCAGGCAGAAAGTCTTTCAGGTAATTGATCATAGCCTGGAAGTTACGAGGCTCCTGCACATCCGCTCGCACTCCCAGGATATACAGACGAAGCCTGCACTGCGGGCTCCCATAGTCCCGACTCCTTAGCTCAGAGACAGGCACAAATTCTCTCATGAGTCATGCATTTGTCATCATTCAGTGGGACAGCTAGTGGCAATCAGAGTCAGAGTCACAGTAATAGTAGTAGTAGTAGTAGTAGTAGTAGTGGTGGTGGTGGTGGTGGTGGTGGTGGTGGTGGTGGTGGTGGTGGCGGCAGTAGTAACGGTAGTAATAGTAATAATTTACAACAACAACAACTAACAACAATGATCAATCTACGATAATTGGTATAGTCTATAGTTAATTATCATTGAATCATAGTCACAGTCAATGTCACAGAGTCATAGAGTCATAGGCATAGTCACGTTAGAGTCATAGTAACAGTAGCCTGTAGCAGCAAGGTCCGTGATGGTCCAATGGTGGCAGTCTGAAGAAGATAAGATGCTGGGGCATTGGCATTGAGGATATTATTAGAATTGGGATTATTGGCAATACTTATTGGTATTAATTATTAACTATTCATATTATATGATTATTGTTATCAATATCATTCCTCTTGCCTGTCTATTATACGATACCTTCTCGTATCATACCATATATATAATTCATAATTATATTATATAATTATAATCATATCATGTTAAACATGTTAACATGCTTCAGCTTCAGATTGCAGACTACCAACACAAACAACTGCATCCATGCATCCGGAGGAGGATGGCCTTCACATGATATTTTGTGGGGATCTGCGCGATGCCAAAGATCTCATTGCCGATACGGCCCGTCAGCAGGTAGTCCAAGGGGGACTGTCACAGGGCGGATTAAGACAAGTTCCAAGTAATCACAAGGCACACTGTCAGCAAAATGGCATTGTGGACTTGCATTGTTTTTCCACATTCAAATGTTGCTCTGAGTCACCTGTGTATGGACTGCCTCACTTGGCACATACCTTTGGCATGGCCGGAAGTTGCAAGCGTATGGCCCGGCACAGGCCAACTGGGTTTGGACGCTGCATCCACTGCCATCTAGGTTTATGATGTTTTAAGTTTAGGCGGTGTAGGCATAGGGTTTAGAGCTCTAGGAAGTTTGGGGCACGGTATGGGCTGAAGCTCAGGTATAGGCCAGTATAGGGGGAACACAGTACAACACATAACATAGGTACGATATAGGGGGGTATTGGTATACGGGTATACGGTATGTGTAATCCATATAATGTATATAAAATTTTGGTACAGGCAGAGGCAAAGCTACAGTATAGGCATTGGCATAGGTATAGGTATATTATTGGTTTAGGCTAGGCTATAGGCTGTATCTCGTCTCTATATATATCTATAGGCTATTCTTTGGGTTGTATATAGTTATAAAGTTAGTTATATAGGCTATAGGCTATAGGGTTTGGCCACAGTTTTAGCTCAGGGTTGGAATTCAGGCATTCAAACGGCATTCATGGCTTATCATGGCGGTTTAATCAATTTAGATTGTTTTAGCCAGGGGCAGGGGGTGGCAGGCATGTTAGCATGTTAGATTAGCTAGGCTAGATTGGCCTATCTACGCTGATGCAGCAGCCCCGCCTGCCAACACAGACAATACACCCTCGGCAGCACTCTTTACGTTTGCTGCGTCTGCGGTCTGCGCAATGCGTTGGGTCTGTGGTGTTGGGCAACAGGCTTCAGGGACTGAATCCAAAGCGGTTTTGCCTTCCCGCTGATGGCCGTGGCTATTGCTTGGCAAATAGACTTGCAGGCAGCGCTGGGGCATCAGTATTTGTATGCTGTATGTATGTGACTGTATGTGTCTGTGACTGTCGGTGTATGTGATGATGCATGATGTATGTTGTGTTGTAATGACTCAGTAATGTGATGACTCAACTAGATCAAGATGTGTAAGCCGTAAGCCGTGTAAGCCTGTCAGGGAATGCTTTCACTTCAAGCATTATGAGTGCGGCGATATTCTCCTTGATGTGCTGGGCACTGCCTACTTCGTATGGTGAGGCTGTGTTCAAGGTGCCTGGCCCGATGGATGAATTGATGCTCTCGGATCCGGATTCTGCTGCCCCTTCTGTGCCAGACGGCGAGTCTGGTACGCAGCATGATTCGCAGGAGGCTGCTGCAGCAGCCAATGCCGCTTCTGATTCTGATTCAGACAGTTCCTCATCATCTGACTCCAGTGCCAGTGCCACCACTTTAATTTTGGGCCATGGCAGAGCCAGGTCAAGGTCCAGAAGCAGAAACGGAGACTAAGGACACGACTCGACATGATATCTTGACGTATTGCTACTGCTGTTGATCTTGAATGGGATTCTGAAGATGATTCGAACTTAGCAAAGCCAAGTCATGTGGCCATGAGTTGGGCCATAGGTTTTCTTGCGGGCGAAATTTTGAGGGCCTTGTGTGTGGCATATGGCGGAACGCATTGCGTGAGGCATGCGTTTGCCCGTGGTTGTATGCTGCCGGTCAGTAGGGCCTGCGAAAATCATGGCCACATGCTTGCTGCATGCTGCGTGCTATTGACTGTTGACTCTTGACCCTTTGCCCTTGGCCCTTGACTGTGACAGTGACAATGCATGTGCTGTATGCCAACAGCACATCTCCGTGGCAACAGTTTTCAGTGACTTGACAGGGTCAATTGTGTGTGCGTGGTCAGCTTGACCTCCGGCGCAACTTGTGCGATGGATGATTGTGGTCCTCTTCGTTGCCTTTCGTGTGAGCAGGAAGAAGGTGCTCAAGACAAGGACATAGTATGCCACATGCCATGTTGAGTGATTGAGCGGAAGATGAGAATTCTATGGATCTGCAGCTGCATGATTGCATGACTGCGTGCTGCATGCTGCTGATCATATGCTTCTCCATGCTTCCTTGTTGAGGATGCCCGGAAGGCTTCGAAGAGATTGTGACTATGCTCAAAAGTGACACAGGATGCTTGTGCCGCAAATGCTTCTATGTGAAACGTGGAAGCTGCAACAACATGAAAGTGAGTGAGCTCGTGACGAACATACAGACAAACGAAGCCTTCGCTGACAAGTATCTGGGCTGCTCATTTCCGGGACAATTTCCTTGTGTTGCCTCCTTGACTCCTTGCGTTGTGTTGTACCATGGGTCATGAGGTTTGCGCGGATGCGCAAGAATCTTGTTGACTTCAATGTACAGTACCCGCAGCGCAAATACCGACATGACAAACCCGACATGAAAGTCCTGCTGGAGAAGAAAGATGAGACATACGTCGATGTTGCCGAGGCCAGTAGTCAGCAGTCAGTAGTTGCTGATCAATTCGCAGTCAAGTCATGTGGGTCATGTAGGCATGTAAATGTGAATCATGAGTCATATGATGAGTCGAGTCATGTGAGTCATCTGCAATGTTGTTGCCATTGGGTCATTGGATGATAGTGCACGTGGCCATATTGCACTTTGCAGGTACTTGTGTGGAAGTCATTGAAGAAGTTTTGCGATGAACGTTATCCCGAGCAAAAATTTCGGAACGATGCTCAGCGTCGAAGCTTCCTGCTCAAGGCCGGGGTGAAGCTCCAGAAGGATGACACCGGCAGGGAGGGTGTTGCAACCCCGAAGAGTGGCGAGGGCGGGGAAGAGAGGGAGATAAAGGTGGGGAAGCGCCTCGCTGCCAGCAAGATCAAGCTGCTGGATTATGGAGATGGCTCCGACTTCAAGAAGGGTGACATTTCGGATGCCCATGCCAAGAATGCCTCGGGCCTTCGTGTGGCTGCTAACGATGAGGACCGTTTATCTGGGTGGCAATCGTGTGCAGCATGGGCATGGGCAGTCAGTGTGGCCAGCATTGGAAGCATTAGCGTGATCAATGATTAGTAACTAGTAGTAATAGACAGTGACAGTGACAGTCTAATCAGTCTAATTAGTCTAATTAGCATTAGCATTAGTATTAGCATGCTATGCTTGGTTATTGCGCGTGCATTTGCGTGCTGTGTCTCTGTGGCATGGTTTGCTTCGGTGTGTGTGTGCGTGTGACTCTGTGACTGTATGTAGTTAAGTAGTTATGTTATGTTATGTCAGTTACGTTATGTATGTAATATGCAACGTAGTTTGCATGGTCGGTCTAGTCTTGTCGGTCTTGTAGCGCTATGTGATCCGCTGTATGACGGTATGACTGCCCCTGTATACACCCTATCACTATCGAAACCCCTAGAAGGGCCCCTTTATAAACCCCTATGCCGCTATGTCAATGCCGCTGCCGCTGCCTCTGCCGCTGCCTATGACTCTATGACAACAACTTAACCGACAGCCTATCAATCATCATGATCATGAATCATGAATCATGAATCATGAATCATAAATTAAACCGTATGTATGTGCGCAGGATCCTTCCTACTGTACGGGGCTGTATATGGTTGAGGTGTGGGTTCAAGCGTGTGCATTTTATGGGGCAAGCAAGTCTCAAGCATATCCGGGGGGCGCGCGCGCATTGTTTTGGGCTTGCTGTGGCATGCTGCATGCTGCATGCTTATCAAGCGAATGTCAGGGATTTCCAGGGAGGGAGGGGGAGGGGGGCGTGCGCGTAAACACATTTTTGGGGGCACTATTTTGAAGTTTGTGAAGCAAAATCAATGTGGCTGCATCTGCATGATTGCATGATTCGTGGTTCATGCTGCATGCTGCTTCAGTGTGGCAGGATTCCGCAGGATTCTTAAGTTAAGCGTGTGTGATGTGTGCAGTGATGTGTGTTTCCGGATTTGCCAGGCGCAATGTTTTCGTTTCCAAAAAAAGGTGGCCCCAACTACAATCCTTGATCCTGATCCTTGTTGTAGGGATTCCCATGTAGCCTGAGTTCCACTTCCTGCTAAATAAGCGCAGCTTACAACTTACAGCCTACTGACTCTTTCCAATTTAGGCAGAGGCTAGGCTATAGGGGTAATATCCCGGTCCCCAAGGCTGGCGATAACGGTATATTTTCATAATGATCTGGTCTCTAACATGATATAGGCACTGTTGGAGCGCGTAATATCCCATATACATCCGTGCCACCCGTATCCCCTATTGACCTGCCGTGTCATTTGGTGGAATATGGGGGCCTGCCGTATGCTGTCATATGAGTCTCATATGCCTCATACCGACTCATACCTCATATGACTCATATGCATATGATTCATTTGTGCCTGTAAGATACCTTAACTATCCATATGCTGCCATATGCCATGCCCCAAACCGCCCCAAACCTGTTTCCTAAACCCCAGCCTAGACGGCCCGGACCTTCAAACCACTTCCAAGCACCTTATATTCCGATTTTGAGCTTGAGCAAACCACCTCACCTTACCTGTGCGCAGGAGACTCTTGTGGCTGCAAAAAGTGGTGTGGATGAGGATGATGCCGATGCTGGGGAGGAGGATGGCAACAGTGATGCGTCCTCTGTCTTGGGCTTTGGTGGCGATGACAGTCCAGTTGCCCCGAAGAGGCGTGCCAGTGGCAAGACGAAGCCTGAAAGCAGTGCCAGGACTCCGACTCCTAAGAAGGCAGCCGAGAAGGCAACCGAGAAAGCAGCTGAGAAGGCTGCAGCCAAGAAAGGAGCTGTGCCAGCTCCTGGGCCGCTGGATGCTGCCAAGAAGACTATGGCGTTGCTCCAGCAGGTTGATGCCCTGTCCATTTGGAAGGGGGGGCTTCGCGAGGCAGACATTGCGGGCAGAGTCAAGAAGGCGTCTGAGGCTTTGATTGCGCTTGAGAAGAGCACCGTGAGCATGGATGATGGAAGCCAGTTGCTTAACAATGCGATGGCCCTTTCGTCAGAGCTTCGGGACCTCGTGCGCTTGATGCCAACTATGCAGCAAGTGCTTGGCAAGCTTCGCTCTGCCAAGAAAGTTAGCCCTCTCCTGCACAATGCAGAGTTTTGTGAGGAATTGGTAGAGGTGTGGCAGCACTGCGTGATGGACGCCGACACTCTGACCGCCATCCTGACCTTGCTCCCCCCGAAACTGCTGCATGAGGCCGCGACCTTGTAAGTCTGGCCGGCTGTGATTGTGACTCTCTAATCTTGAAGTTGGTTTGGTGTGGCACGGTCTTGTCACTTGTCAGTCTGTCAAGCAGCAGGTCGCGGGTTGTTGAGCCATGAGGTGTTTCCCACAGTTTGCTAACAGGGTTTGCTGTAGGTTAAGTTGTGTTATGTTACGTTAGTTTAGTTTATAGTTTATGGGCGGTTATGAGTTATGATGAGGTTAGCCAATTTTAGCCAGGTTAGCCATGTTATGTTAGCAGTTAAGTTATGGCTGGACTGCTGGACTGTCTAGACTGACTGGCTAGGCTAGACTGTCTGGCTAGACTCACCATTGTCATCATATGCTGCTGCTGCTGCTGCTGCTGTTTGCTGCTGCGTGCTGCTTATGCTGCTCCATGCTACTGCTACTGCTGCTGCTGCTGCTGCTGCTGCTGCTGCTAGTCACTAGTTTCTAGTTACAAAACCAGAATCACTAGACTCACTGGGCTAGAGTAGGCTAGACTATGTGACCTATGCCTCCCCTATGGCTGACCCGACTATTCCATGATTCCGTGATGCTGAAGTTCTGCTGTATCTCACTGTATCTCTGTACCATTGTAACATAACATATGATGACGACCTCCCACAACTACTAGTGCTACTATGACTACGGGTACAACAACAACAACAACAACTACTACTACTACTACTACTATTGTATACGGTGTCCCATCTCACCCGTGGCCATGGTCCTATGCAAGTACTCGGTACTCGGGTTATGATGATGTGGCCCATCGGTTGGTGCACTGATTCTGGGCAGGATGGTCCTGGCAAGTTTCTTTCCTTCGTGCGCATCCTTGAGAATGTGGATGAGCCAGCTGAGGGTGAACTCTACTTCTCGTTGGGTACAGTATGGTCCATGAGATTTTGCTCAGGATCCAGTCGACAGCGATTCACTCATGGATCGAAAGCTTGAACTCAATGCCCGTGCTCGATGCTGCGATCATGGGGTTCATGAAGCGCAACCAAACCCCCTTCCTCTCTATCACATACGATGTGGGCGCGCTGAGGTTGGCCGGGTGATTTGTGCAATGCAGCAGGTGACATGTGGTTGACTCGATCACATGAATCACATGTAACATGTAAGATCTGAGATCTGATTTGTGCCATGCCGTGTGACATGTGACCTGAGCTTTGTTTCATTTTCAACATCACACAGTCACACAGAAGAATTGAATTCTATTCTATTCATGTTATTGTGACCAGGGCGGGAGTCAAATCTGGTCCACCTTCCATGGAGCCCGCGAGCAAAGACGCCTATGAGAACAACACAGGCTTCAGCATGGGCATCCTGGTGGACCTTTGCAAAGTCATGGCATGCTGCGTCGCCCGGTCGAGTGACCATGATGGTGTGGCAATGAGCAACAATGAGAGATTGTTCTTGAAGGCAGTCGTTACATGCTCTGACTTCAGCAGCCGGATGACACTCTTCATGAGACAGCCCGGGCCATTCAAGTATCTTGTCTTGCAAGTGGCAGGTCCGAACCTATGGAGTGTGGACAGTGTGGACGGTATGATATGATTCAGTCATGATGTCTATGGAGTCTAGTCTAGTCTAGACATTCTAGACTAGACCCTTTAGGCTGTCTAACTTATTTGGTCTTTACCAAGTACTAGTGCAGTAGTACTAGTACAGATTACTAATTACACGCAGTCACTTGGTTTTGTTGATGTCAAAGATAAGACGACGAGGTCAAGCGTGCAGTGTTAGTAGCAGATACAGTCGATGCAGTTTGATATCAATGATCAGTGATCAGTGATGAAATTAGGCAGTTGTGGGCACGAGTGGTGGCTGAAGCTAAGCTGGCCCTGGACGGCGATGCTCTTTTGAAGGAGGGCAATGGCAAATCTGAGCTGCTTTCATCCTTTCTCGAGGCTTTGAATGCAGATGGCTCTCAAAGCACCGTGGAGACCATCAATGACTTGAAGGCCCGAGCAAGGGAGTGTGGCGCAAACTTGAAGATTTTGCAGAAGGATTTGGGCAAGCTTGGCGTTGAGGGTGCGCAGGACGCGTCCAAGAAGCTGAACGAGATGCTTGAACAGTTGGTGTCCTTTACCGATGGGCATGAGGACATGGCGGACGAGGGTAAGCAGTTTGCGGTGGTGATGGCTGCGTTGTGGGCACATGAGGAAGGCCAACTTCAAGTGCAGTATGATATGGTCACCATGGGCCTCAATGTGGGAAGTGATCTTTGGTTTGGACGGCTGTCGTTGCTGTGTCCCCATGGCTGCAGCTAGAGAAGTGCGGTGTAACCAGCTGGTGACAGTTTGAAAGAAATTCGAATCTTTGGCCCATGGCCCATGGCCAACTAAGGCTGTGTGCTGGAGATGACAGAGCAGACCCCCCATCCGGCTTTCTTGATGCGCGACTTTCTCACGAAGGTGCGTGCCTTTGCCAATTCCCATGGCGAGGGCGATCATGATGGGCTTTTGACGGCAGCTTGCAAGCTTAGAGTTGCTCTGCGTGTTGTGCTGGATCCGCTGAAGACTGCCTTTGAGACGGACGACTGCAAAATTATGCAGGCTTGTGAGGCAGCTGTGGGCCGACTCCAGGATAGCCTTGATGTGGCAGATCAAGCATGGCTCCGGAAGCTGATGGCAGAGGCAACGGGGGACAGTGCTGAATCAATTGAGGCCAAGGCCAATGAGATCCTTTCTGACCCCACGCCGACCCTTGCAGATGCCATCGCAGCAGTCAAGATCAAAGGTGATCTTGAAGCGATTGCCAAGGCATCAGTCGGTGCTTGCTTTCAGGAGCTGGTGGAGGTCATGCCGCTCTACACCAAAGTGAACTCAATGAAGCAGGACTTCTTGGATGATGAGAGCA